GTCCTTCCCTTCCACTTTCTCTAAAAAAATCAATTGAAAAAAATATCCTCACTTGTAGATTGAGGATAAAAAATAAAACTGAGAAACATTTTAGGTAGCCTAATTTGTCTCTTAGGTTTCCAAATGGATGTTATGAAATTCAAAAGACAAGAAAACTGCGCTTCAAGAAAGCTATAGCCCTGGCCAGTTGGCTCGGTGGTTAGAGCGCCGGCCCTCGAACGGAAGGGTCCCAGGTCCGCTCCGGCCAAGGGCACGTACCTGGGCTCCGGGCTCCATCCGTGGCCCTGGTGGGGTCGAGTGAGGGGGGCAACCAGTTGACGTGTCTCTCTCACGTCGATGTTTCTATTTCTGTCTCCCTCTCTCTCCCTTTCACTCTCTCTGAAGAGCTATGGAAAAAATAACCTTGGGTGAAGATTAAAAAAGAAAACAACAGAAAACTATAGAGACATTTTTGTTTAAAAACTGTCAATGTTCAGAAAGTTAGAGAATTTATACAATAAAAATTCCACAATAAAGATGTTATGATCTCAGGATAGGAAAATCAAGCTGATTAAAAGGTTAGGCAAGCATGGCTGGTGCGGCTCAGGGGTTGAGCGTTGACCTAGGATCCAGGAGATGGTGGTTCGGTTCCCGGTCAGGGCACATGCCCGGGTTGTGGGCTCGATCCCCAGTAGGGGCGTGCAGGAGGCAGCCGATCAGTGACTCTCTCATCATTGATGTTTCTCTCTCTCTCTCTCTCCCCTCCTCTCTCTGAAATCAATAAAAATATATTTTTTAAAAAAGGTTAGGCAATAGGAACAGGTCACCCATGAAGAGGAAGGTAGGTATATTTTGCTCTTTTAACTTACTTGTGTGTTCTAGTCACATCCAAAGCACCATCCTCTATTTTTCCATATTGGGGCCTTTCACAGGAAGCCTGGATTTGGTTAGCTGGACGTGAGAAAGGTGTCAGTGACAGTCTTGGAACCAGTGTAAGACTATCCAGATGCAAGGCATCTGGAGAACAGAAAAGAATGAAAAGAGAAATTTATTTTTGGTTTAAGCTGATATATATTTTTTCTTTCTCTCTTGAGAGATCGGAGTATTTTTGAAAAAGCAGAAGTCAATTCAATTCTGTTAACATTTTAACATAACCCTCCCCTCCCTTGATGCCTAGTTATGTGTGGACATGCCAAGTGATTTTTTTCTTTTCTCTTTTCCCTTCCCCCTTTTCCCTTCCCTTCTCTTTTCTCTTCTTCTTTTTTTTAAGGGGGGGAGGGAGAAGGGGAGGGTGAGGACAGAAAACCCTTGTTTACTAAGCAACTAGAGAGGTCAACGGATCTGCAGCTAGGGGGCAAAATCCAGCCAGCCGAATGTTTTTGTAAATAAAGTTTTATTGAAACATGGTCACACCCATTCGTTCAGTATTGTCCACGGCTACTAGTGTCCTGCAATAGCAAAATTGAGTAGTTGCTGCAGAAGCCACATGGCCTGGGAAAACTAAAATATTTAGCATCTGGCCCTTTACGATCCCTGAAAACAGACATTGTGATGGCAACCTAGCAGAGTAATAAACTGTTTTTGTTTTGTTTGTTTGATTTAATGACTCTAGGAAGCAGGAAAAAAACCTAGGCTTTGGAGTCAATCACAGATTTTTAGTTCAAATGCTGGCTCTGTCACAGTTGTGTGATCTTGGACAAATCACCAAACCACTTGAACTTCAGTTTACTTACATAAAAAGTGACACATACGCTCAGGCTAATTACTAATTCAATGTTCCTTATCTTTAAAATGGGCTTTAAATTACCATCTACCTCTTAGGGATGTGTGAGTTAATAAATAAGGGTTAAGTGAGCTAATAGATATGTGAAGAGCAGAGAACTGTGCCTGACACATAGCAGCGCTGTCACAGTTGTTGTGTTGCTGTTATCACCGAGTTAGTGTGAGTGAAATCATCTCCATAAAGCACCAACCATTTTCTGATATGAAATAGCCACTCCACTGGCTGTGGCCGCAGCTACCCTTCTGTAGTTGAAATGATCCACAAATCACTCTTCCTTTTCATTCCTTCTTAAATTTATTTTGATAATCACCCCATTTCTCTTGTCATTTACGAACCAGCCATTAACTTTTGCTTTTAAACACATCTGGGTTGTGATGAGCGATGTCACTACTGTGAGCATTTCCGAAGATAAAGTCATTTTCTTTAGCCTCGCATTGAGTGGTGGTCCACAGTTTGGCCCACAACCTGCTCCGCACTTAGATTCTACCGTGTCCTGACCCAAGTGCTCTTTCTCCAAAATGGCTTGTCCAGTTCTGACTCTTCTTTGAACACTTGGGGCTTTTGCATTCTTCTGGGTCTGGTCATTTCCCCTCCTCATTTCATTCTCCCCAGTTGGAATAGTTTTTCCATGAGTTTTACTTTTCCAGGTGGAGCCCACCTTTCAAGGCCTGGTTCAACTCTCATTTCTTTTATGGAGGCTTCTGTGAGCCTGGGTCTTATCTCACCAATAATCTGTGAGCTATTTTAGGATTTATCCTCTAGTATACAGAATACGGTGCCTTGCATAGAGTAGGTGCTCAAACATCAGTTGATTGACTGAATTCAGGGATAAATATCCAAGTATTCAACAACTCTTCCTATACAAATACAATTGTGATTGTTTTCCCCTTTGAAAAGGATCCTACCCCAGCTCTGTGTGATACGGTGTAGGAGAGGGGCTGGCCATCCAGGCTTACCCAGCAGAGGTGCGTCCCAGCATGTATGTTTGAAGGTCAGGGCTGTCTGATGTAGTCTTGCTTCTTTACCACGACAACACTGCTTCTGAAAAGAAAGTCATGGAGTATTAACTATTTAAAGGGATGTAACATAACATATTTCATAATCCAATCTCTTCATCTCCAAAGGCAGAAAGAATATCACTGCTCTCAAATAACCCTGACCCTGCAAGAGAGGTCAGGAAGAAAAGAAATGATGCCAAGTAACAAAGCTTTCATGTCTTTGATCACAAGGCATCCTCTATGTGTAAAGTATAATTCTTATTAAAAATAACAGTTCAATAATTTAACAGAATGATAACATGATCAATTCCCTCTATCAACATTTTCATATAAACAAAGGCTTTGAGGAAAGGGGTATGAATGAATTATATAATTCTTTATATATAATTATTATATAGTTATATAATTATTCACAATACTGCAATATATTTTAAAAAAATATTATCATTTCTTAGGGTCCACCAGGATTGTGTTTATGTACATGATAAAGAAAATAAATAGCTGTCCATTTGCTTCATCTGATAACCTCTCAAGGAAAAGCAGTATAGAGTTCTAAGACTACTAGTACATGCAGGTCTTAGTCTATTTTGGCAGAATAGTTGATTCACAAAGGCATTTCAATCCTTTCAAGAAGCTTAAACTTACCGGTTGTTCTTGAAGATGTTGTTGAATTGTATCTGTGCAGGACAAGGGATCATAATGAGGAAATTCCTCATCTAAACAACTCTGTAATAAGAAAATTGTGGAGTGTATTTGATGAAAGAGTCAAAGATACAAAACATATTAGACTTAAGACATGATGTTACCCAAGTAGGGAAAAAACGACCAGTTCTTTATCTTGTGTTCTACTTTAAGAGAACAAGTTTTTAATTGTTAGCCTCTCCTTGCCATTTTCCTCATTACTAAAGGAATAAAATCCAAAGTTCAGGAATAGGAAAGGGAATGAAATCATTGAAGTCTTTAGGCAGAGGCCAAAGAAGCTTGTTAGAGACATAGCTCAGAAGAATAAAAGTGGTGCCTGTGAAAATTTTATAGCAATAAAACTGTGGCCTTAGTACAAGAGGTAGCTACATATCTATCATAGTTACATGATAATAGAAAATTTTACTGGTGTTCTTCAAATGATTAAGGCATGTTTAGATATGGAGGTTTTTCCAGTTCAGCGTAGTGCAGGGCTTTTGAGGAACTCTGCCTAGCTTAATCTCCCACCTGAATACATTTTCCCCGTTTAACCAGATGTGCCTACATTCTGCCCTGGAAACGGATACATGTGAATATCCCCCTTCTCTCTTCCTCCTCCAGTGCCAACTTCACTGCTCCTTATGTTCCTCGTTTGTGAAGAGAAGGAAGAAATTCCCCAAGTGTCATAAGGAAAAGAAATACATTAAACTCTGCCATAGATATCTTGAGATATCCAGACAGGAGTTGAACAGTTAATTCAAATAGGATTAAAAAGCAGCAGCAACCATTAAAGCCCATTCAAGAGAACACATTCAAGACTGTCAGGAAGGAGGCACCTGAGCCTGAACACTGGCCCTTTCCTAACAGATATAGTAAATTCCGAAATGCTCCTGATACCATAATTAACCTGGTGATTAATAACAGGAAAGGAGCAAAGGGGGAAGCCAGATATTACAGGCATGTCATTCGGGCAGCTTCACCAGGAAGCCACAACTTTACACTCCCCAGGGGTCCAACAAAGGGAGGGCAGACACATGCCCAGGAAAGTTGGGGTGACTAGGGAAGGTGCTTGCTGTCAGTCACGCCTGGAACAGAGGTCATGGGCCAGAATGGGCGTGGCCACCGCAAGGGTGCAAAATTTGGGATATTTAATCCCCTGAACAAAGGAGTTTACTCTCGTGGTTCCTCTCGGCACGCTTGGCTCCCGGCTGGCGCTCGGCTTCCTGGCATTCTCCCGTGTGGCCCACGGCCGTGCGGACCCCGCACACAATGGACTAAAGGACGGCAACCAGGCTGACCCGGCTCCAACATGGGGAGGAAGCTCTGGACGCTGGCTCTGCTTCTACTCTCCTGAAACCCCAGCTACACTTCTATGACTGGGCTAAGGGAAATGGGACTTTGGAAACACAGGGATTTAATTCCATGCAATTAAAAATCACCCATTCTACCACGCGAGTCTTAGAAAATTCTTCTCAAAATATAAGAACTCCACCCCCAGCAGCACCCAGTGGGGAAGGGGACACCCCATTTTGTCCGATAAGCCCTATTTGAAAGATGCAATGTCTCCATCAAGCCATCCACTAATGTGAGCTCTTCCCTCTTGTTTTGCAAACCACTGTCAGCGCGTAAGAGACAAAGTCCAGCCCTGGCCAGTGTGGCTCAGTTGCCTGGAGCGTAGTCCCATAACCAAAAGGCTGCGGGTTCAATCCCTAGTCAATGCACTTGCCTAGGCTGTGGATTCAGCCTCCAGCTGGGGCGGGTATAGAAGCAACCAATCGATGTTTCTCTCTCTCTTTCTCTCCCCTTCCCTCTCTAAAAATCAATAGGCATATCCTTCAGTGAGGATTAAAAGAGAGAGAGAGAGAAAGAACAAAATCCACCAGAGCATTTTCTTCTAAGTTAGTTATTTAATTTTATGATTAAAATTATTATCCATTATAAATTAGCTTCCAAACCTCACACAGTTTGGATGTCATCACCACACTAAATGCCTATCACAGAGATTTTTTTTTTTTTTTACCTGAAACAGCAAGGCATGGGGTCGTCCTTTAAAGAACTTCTTTCTTAGCGACTTGATTGTTTCTGTAAAGAGAATTCATAACCAGCTTAATATGACAATTCCTTTTCCCTTAACTCATTTCACAAACTTTTAACAGCTTTAAATTTGGGGCCTGAGGAAAGGAGAGAGAAAACAATGACTCCTGAGACTGGCATTTTCAGTGCATGACTTGTGAAAACAAAGAACCAGGAGAAAAAACAAGCTGGAGCAGCAAAACCATTACCATCCTTGGGTATTTAAACTTGTCCTTGATTGATGCAGGTGACTTGTCTTCTAGAAGTGAATCTCAGAATTATTAGATCTTAAAATGGGAATAACCTTAGAAGTCATTCAGTCCAACCCTACCCATGTGGAAATCATCTCTCTAATAAGCCTGTGCTTGAGCTATAAGGAAAGGAGCCCTAGAAGTAGAGGCCTAGAATCCCAAAATCCTACAGGCAGGTCTGAGATTGAGAGAGCACGGATGCCCAGGGGATTTAAAAGATAACTGGTTGTTCAGGGAGCTGAGATCAGACTCACAGGATGGTGCTTAATTCACTAGAGTTTTTTGTGAAATTAAAAAGATGTGTCTTTCTACTTAACTAAAATGTTTCCCAGCAACTTCCAAATTCTCATCTCTAGAATAATGAAAATGGGGGAAAAAATACCTATTTAATTCTTTGAGCTACAGAGTAACATATTATTTATTTGACAACCCATACTCTTTGGAAATATAGCCAAGAACCAGAAAATAGGCCCAAAGCTTCTGAACAACCAAAACAGAGGTTGATATCCATGCCCTTTCTTCTTGTAGAAAAGCCTCAGCTTTCCACTCAGAAAGTGGGCTCTGAATTTATACATAATTCTCACAAGCTGATTGTTTTCTCAGCCCACAGATGATTAAAAACAAAAATTAAATGAGGGTAGGGAGCTCTGCTAGATGGAAGCATATTAATAGCTGCCACTATTTTTTAAAAAAATCACTAACAGCCAAGAAAATTCACTGCAGATACTCTGGTGTCCAAAACACATAGAAATCTGGCACTTCTTAAATTAAATACAAAAAGTTTGATATCTCAATAGCCTGAAGAAATCCATGAAAACAATGCTAATATATGTAAAAATAAATAATCTAATTTAAATATTTTTAAAAAAAAAGTCTTAAAAAACTTTAATTATGTGGAAATTACCTATGTAAAATTCTATTTTGTAAGAATATTTTAAAAAAAAATAACTCATTTCTCAACTAAGCTTGCGATAGTGTTACTAGCCCCACTAAGAGGAAAGTATATATTTTCAAAATGATTTCTAACATACATAAGTAATTTAAAATTTTTAAAAATTCTTAATACTTAGCTCGTTAGCAAAGATTCAGGTTTTAAAAATTCTTTGCATTAACTGTGTTAGGAAATAAGGCCCCATCTCCATCCTGACCTACATCTAAGCAACAGCAACCAAAGCTTTCAAAAGTGGCCAGAAACGTTATGTTCCTGAAGGCTGTGCATCTCCAAAACACTGTCTTTGAATCTCCAAATTAAGCTTGTGTTTCAGAAGAAATAATGAGTTAGTATAAGACTGTTTAAATTGCCCATCTGCTTTCCTACGAGGCAATCTTGGGTTTTAAAAAATAGTCCACCTCCAAACATTCAAATTGTAAACCTTATTTCAACAGATGTTTTGTGCAATGTGTAGCAACTATTTCCGTATGTTTCACAAGCAAAACAAGGTGGCTTATGACCCTAATTTGCATTCACCTTTGCATTCTTCTCTGTGTGTTTGGAGCTGGACCTGCCGTGTCTCTAGGGCATGTAGGTTTCACATGGAAGCGAGAGAAAAATGGGCACTGTATCCCCTGCTGTTGCCATCTGCCATGTAGGATGGGACCAGGTGTCTTGGATACATTGCCTTTGAAAGAAGCTGAGATAAAAACAGTTTTCTAAATGACTGTGCAATGAGGCTTGCAGGCAAAGCCCCGCAATTAATTGGCTGTTGAAAATCAAAACCATAATATTAGAGTTGAAATCGTTTTAGCTATCAGTGGTGGCTGACTTTTAGGGAGTATGGATTTTTATAACACAATACATGTGTTACCTCATGTTCTATGAAATTGTGCATTAAAAATATCAGGGTTCATTGAAAACTACAGACTAGGAGAAAATAATTCACAAGACATAGATCTGTCAAAGGACTTGTGTACAAATTATGTCAAGAAATCCTGCAACACAATAGCCAAAGGACAAATGTCCCAATTTGAAAATGGGCAAAAGACTTAGATACTTCACACAGAAGATATAGCCAATCAATGGAACAAATGAAAGCCACAATGAAATACTCAGAAGGGTGGCGAAAATGTAAATCTTTTGATTGACATGAGCAAATGGTGGAGCTGTGGAGCACCTGGAGCTCCACACATTGCTAGTGGGAGCATGAAATGCTGCAGACCCTGTGGGAAACTGCTTGGCAGTTTCCTCACAAGTTAGAGTTACAACTACAACCTAACAACTCTGCTCCTAGATATTTATCCCAGGTTAAATAAAAACACATGTTCCACACAAAGACCAACACACGGATATTCATAGCAGCTTTCCGTATAGCAACCCCATGGTGTATACAATTTAGATGTCCAATAGGAAAAAAGGTCATCAAATTATGGAACATTCATACAAAGAAATACCACTCAGCCAGGAAAAGGGCAGACCACGGATAAACACAACATAGATAAACACTATGCTGAGGGAAAGAAAACAGATACTCACAAAGTACACACATATTGCATAACTCAATTCTAGAATAGGCTAAACTAACCCATCAGTGATAGAGATCAGATCAGTGGTTGCTCCCTGTGGTGGTGGAGGTGGGGAAGGGGGAGTGACTGGGAAAAGCACAAGGGGAAGTCCTGTGTTTCAATGTGCATTTGTCAAACTGGTTGAACAGTACAGTTAAGGTCTGAACTTTTTATGGCATGTTAATTATTCACCAATAAAAAATAATTTAAAAACTATGACAGGAACAAAAATAACAGAGTATATGAGTTAGAGTTAGGTAGAAACCAGAGCACTAACAAACACAGTTATTGAGTTATTAGTACCTAAGAAGATAACAGGTCACTGAGACATGCATATTAAGATGGTTAAAGGCTGCCTCACAGGATAGAGACTATTGACACCTGAAATGGCACGGTGCCGGTGGGGTGCTAAGAAAATGCAGATGGCAGTGGAACTCGGAGGCACTGGCACTGCTAAAGTGAACCAGGAGTTAGCAGGAGGTAGCACAGTGGGCCACAAGCCAGAGCCCTGCAAGGCTGGGCCAGCGCTCCTCCGGGGAGCAAGGCCCAGGTGCAGACAGTTGTTTTGAATTTTCTTAAAATACAGCTGAAAGGGCTCCTGCTGCCTGTGAGCTGCTGCTGAAGGTTACAGTCCTGTTCCTTCCAACCAGATTCTATTCCCAGGAGAATTGTGAATAAAACGATATAACCTCCATACTAAACTAACATGTCATTTGCCAATCATGAATGAGGCAATTCATGTGACAGAAACATGCCCGAGCAGAACAAATTGCACCAAGAGTGACCAGGCACTAGTTGCTGTTTTACATTTGTTGTGCTATTTATAAATTAACAACTACTGCATTTTCTTGGAATAGGATATTGAGGCCCAGGGAGGTAAAGTGATTTGCTCAACTCTATCCAGTTTCTCTTTTGCAGCCTTAGAATCAGAATACAGGTTTAAGCTTCAAATCCCGTGCTCTTAATCATTCAGCTATTCTGCCTCTTAGATTATTTCATCCATACCTGCATCCTTCATTGGGAAACATTCAGGCCCCCCTGCCATGACAGCTGTTGGGCAAGCTATATTTGACTTTGGTTTTCTCCTTGGTCCTCACTTCAACACCTATCTTAAAGTATCTCCTGAATCCCCTTTCTTGGCTCATTTCCCTCTTGTGTACTGACTGCTCAGGACATGTGGCTCTCACCTTGCATCTACCCTCAAAGCTGTAAGGCTGTTGTCTGCCCCATACCTCATGACCTCTATGCTAAGAATAGCAAGCTAGAAGAGTTTCCAGTGAGATCATCTAGATGAAAGCCTTCTCTCAACCATAAAGTTCATACTTAGACGCTATGCTCAAATAAGGAGTTATGATCAACAGAATCTTCTCAGGCTCTCTCCCCAAGGAAATATTCATAGTTTCTAAAGGTAACTCCCTCACTGCCTATTAAATGAGTGACTCAATGATAATTTCATGTCAGATAGCCCCCCCCCAAAAGAGTGAATATTAAAGTGGCTGTAGTTTAGATCAATTCGTGTATGTTTCATGTACATTAGACTCACCCTAGTATGTTGAGTGCACACCCTAGATCTAATAAGTTTTTATTCTCTTTTTAAAGCAAACAGATTTATACATCCAGTATTGCCTTTGCTAACAAGATAGTTAAGATACAAAGGTAAAAAGCAGAAGAAAGAAAGTATATAAGTAACCATTCAAAGAAATTTAGCAGCTCTAATGGCACATTTCATGGAGGCAAGCATGTATGTGAATTACGTCACAAATCAGTACAGTCCTGGTGGCAACTGAAAACTCTAACCCTACTATTCATTCAGCATTAAGTTCTGAGTTTCTAATCACACGTCATAAACAACTTCCTAGTTCAGCTTGTGACCACCATCATTGACCTGAACGTTTGAACAAAACAACTGCATCCCCACACAATTTGCTAGTGAATCTTTCTTAGATGGAGCAGAAAGCACCTGCCTTAAATACTTAATTTATTAAGCTCAACAGAAAGTTTCAGAAGGACTAAGTGGATTTCAATATTTTTATTTTCTGACACAGAATTCAGATGTCTGACTCAGAACTAAACAGCATGTGGTGGCAGTGGTCATGGCAGAATGTGCAAGGATGTTTGTGTGATAACTGTCTTACCTCAGTGACATTTGTTCACAGTCTATCTGGAAAGTCTGTTATATAGAGCATGTCAAAAGTATCTGCTACCTAAATTTCCCTCTTGTTGCAAAGGCTGAGTTTTATGAGAATTATTAGGAAGATCTTCACAAGCAAATGGTCGTAAGAGTACAATCTTGACATGTTTGCCTTCCTTATGCAGCAAAAGATATAATTAAGTACAGGAGTTCATAAAGCCAGGCAGGTTGTGAGCACCTAGGGACAGAAAGGAGGCATCCAGTCTGCTTTAACCAGCCAGAAAAAAATACATGCATTCAACCCAGGGCAGCTGATTTGGATAGTTTAAAAATTTTAATAACATTTGAACCAATTATCTCCCGAAGATAAACTGGGAAGACAGTAGCAAGTTCATAATACCACAAATGTACATTTTGGGATAAGTTATGAAAATTGACTCTTCAGAGAAGAAATCATGGGGGGTTGGGAAGAAAGATAAATTCTTAGTTTTACAAAACTATGGGGGGCATAATATTGATTTAATCAAAAGATAACTATAACTGGACCAAAAGACAAGTCCTCTTATCACAGTCTCCAAAGCAAACACACCATAAACCAAATTTGGTTTTTATCCATGCCTCAACATGAACACTTCTAATCATAGGGAACCTTCTCTAAGGCCCTCTGGGTAATAATAACACATAGATTATGTAATTTAAAGCATGTCTTAAATGTGTGACAGAGTAAAGCAAAGTAATCCAATACTCAGAGTTATTAAAGCTAGCAAGTTCTACAAGGTTCTAAAAAAAAATAATAAGATGTTGAATAGCCACTGCTACTTTAGAACTAGCCAGTTCCTTTAAACTCTTAAACAGCTGATAACAGTAGAAAGGGTACAAGGAATCCAAAACACACACATATTGGAAAAGTTCCATCTCTAGCTTGCCTTAAGCTTATATTTTGTTGTTTATATCAAAACCAACAGCTTCCTATTAAAAGAACATTTATACTGCTAGAACAAAAAGATAGCTGAACGTCTGATAAATGGTCAAATAAGCAAGCTTTATTTTTTATGCTTAATGGTTCTAGAATGAAATAAGCCTATAAATAATCTGATATCTGTAATTTGACAGTTGTCTTCTCACCTAAACTCTTAGTAAACACCCATGTTTAGGTAATACGGAAAAATGAGAAATACTCTAACTTGCAAAGCAAAATGTATGTGTAGAGAATACATTTAAAAAGAATTTTCACACATATTGAATATTTTGATACACATTAAATTCAGAGGTATTTTGTCCAACCCTAAAATTACTAGTTAAAAGAAAGTAGAGAGGCAGGGTCTTTTCTACCATATGATGGGTACAAACTAGCTAATAAAACCAAGGTAGAATATGTAAACAATTTGCCAGTTCAAATATCCCATGGGAACAAGATTTTTTTTTGCTTATTTACTTTTACAGATATTGAGAAGTTTCATTTAATTTTTAAAGAAATAACAGTCATGGACAAATCTAGCTTGTAATAAACAACCAAAAGGAAAGTCAGTGGTTAAATTAATCCACTTAGCTACTAGGCAAGCGTCTCTGAACGCCCACAGTACAGCCTTCTGGAGCCATTTCATTGTCACAAATGTCTTAATAACACAGCAGCTGTAATCTATAAACATGGCTGCAGTCCTTTTGCCCCACCTCAGAGTGGACAAAATGGGGACATAAACATTCGCTACTCACTTTTCAGTTTTCTTGTCTTCTGCTCCAGGGCCTGGCAAGTGTTCACTAGCTCAGTATTTATAGTCTGGGGACTCAGTTGTTCTGAGATCGCTTCCTCTGATTTATGCAGCGAAGCCTTGGCTGTCTCACTGGCAGAGTGGGCCGTGCCACCTCGGTCTTCAACCTGGAGACGCACAGTTAAAGCTGGATTTTCACAGTGTGTCCCGGAAAGCAAGCAATTGAGCGCACACTCTTATGCACAGGAAGCTGCAAATGTGCTTTTGTTCTCAGGGAAGTGATAAGCCTCCCCTGAACTTCTGCAATTCTGTTTGCATGGGCTCCGTGTGCCTGAGCTCTATCCACAGCCCCGCAGTCCTGATATGTCAAGTTGCCTCTTTCTGCAGAGTTGCCTCCTTGGCAGCAGGCTGTTGACACCGCCTCTCTTACAACGCCCCCTGCACTTCCTCCGCTGCTAGTCTCCAGGGACTGCACTTCACAGTTCCTCTTTGGGTTTTTTAGTGTGTGTTTTTTTTGCTGTTGTTGTTCCTTCTCTGTTTTTATCTCATGGTTTTAAGGACATCTGAGGAGGCTTCCCCTAAATATAATATAGCCCAAGGCCGCCCTACCTGCTCCTCTGCGTCCTCTTGCCATTGACCGGCTTCTTGGACCCTCTTCCTGAGGATGGCTTCCTGGTTGACAGCATCTTCTTGTTCAATGGCTTCTAGCTGTTTCTGCCTGGAGTTTTAAAAAAAAAAAAAAAAAGTCCAAACCACAAGCTGTCAGTGACATTTCAACTAAGAGTCACCCCTGGGAAGTTGTGACAAATGCAGACTTCATACACTTACTTCCTCAGAGATCAGAGGAAAAAGTGAAAGTGTTTACATACATATAAATGCTTCTCTAACATGGGATTTTAATTAAAGCAAACATATTGATCACTTCGCCTGATGCCTCACTTTACAGATAAGGACATTTAGTTTCCTGCTTTACCCTGGAATATTCAGGTCCCCTCCAGCAACGTTCATAGCACTTTGCATCGGTGACCAATTGCTTAGAGAATGGAGCTACAATGAGGTCGCTGTGACAGGTGCCGTGTTTAAACAGCACAGCTAGCTGCCTCAGAAAAAGAAAGGACAGGAAAGGGAGGGAGGAAAAAGAAAAGAGGAGCTTGGTTTCATGAGCTTAGCCTTTCTCCTCAAAAGCTGTCAGTGGTGAGGACAGGAGGGGCTGCGCCCAAGCACAGGTGAAAGCTGGCTGCTAGTCTTTCCACTTCAGTCTCCTCTTTCTGAAGACCTTTTCCTCCCTTTCTCCCTCCCCCAAATCTCTTAGTGTGGTTATGTTACCTCTATTTTGGATCTGACCTTAATTCTCAAAATACATAAAAATGCATCTGCTCTCCATTAGCTGATGAGATGATTTGAACTATGCTATGTGTCACTAAATCAGTGACTATCTGGAAACCACTTGGCCTGGACAAGGACCTTAGCTCCAAGGGATGACAAACTCTGGGGCTTCCAAAGCAGCGAGCAAACACCGTCAGCTTTAGGCCTTTGGTGTGCCTCTCAACTGTCAACGCACAGTCAGAATCCCATTGTGCATCGTTGTAAATCCTGCCCTGATTACAAAAAGGACCACATGCGAGACAAGGACGGGTGCTTCACCATTATAGTAAACCGGGAAACAAAACCCTAAGCAAAATTAAAACCATCTGAACACATATTCTACTAAGATCGTTCGATAGCTTATAGTCAAGATTTTTCTTTTCTTAAATTGTAGTGAGGACATGTAACATGAGATCTACCCTCTTAATGCAATTTTTAAGTGTGCAATACAGTGTTAACTATAGGCACGACGTTGTACGGCAGATCTCTAGTGTGACTAAAATTATACCCGTTGAAGAATTGCAACTCCCTGTTTCTCCCTCCCCTATCCTCCGGAAACCACCATTCTACTCTCTCCTTCTATGGGTTTGATAATTTTTAACATCTCGTTTAAGTGTAATCACACAGTATTTGTCCTTCGGTAACTGGTTTATTTCACTTAGCATAATGTCTTCAAGATTCATCCATATTGTCGCATGTGGCAAAATTTCCTTTTTTAAGGCTCATTATTATTTCATTGTATGTGCATAGCACATTTCTTTATTCATCCACTGGTGAGCATTTAGGCTGTTTCCACACCCTGCTATCCTGCATAGTGCTGCAATGAACATGAACGTGCAAATATCTCTAAGATTCTCTTTGAATTTTTTGGATGTACACCCAGAAGTGCAATTGCTGGGTCACATGGTAGTCCTATTCTTAATTTTTTTAGGAACCTCTATACTGTTTTCCATAGCAGTTGCACCATTTCATATTCCCACGAACAGTATACAAGAGTTTCAATTTCTCTGCATCCTTGCCAACACTTGGTATCTTTGGGTTTTTTAAAAAAATGATACCCTTCCTAACAGGTGTGATTCATTCATCACTGTGAATGACTCATCGTGGTTTTTATTTGCATTTCCCTGATGACTAGTAATTTTGAGCATTTTTTCATATACTTGTTCACCAATTGTATATCTGCTTTGGAAAAATGCCTATTTAAGCACCCTGATCATTTTATTTTTTTGTTAAGCATTTTATTTTATTCCCATCCACCCTTCCTAACCCCCCATTTTGGCAATGATCAGCTTATTCTCTATATCTATGGATCTGTTTACATTTTGTTTTGTTTATACATTTGTTTTTAGATTCCACTTATAAAGGAAATCATATAGTATTTGTCTGACTTATTTCACTTAGCATGATACACTCTAGGTCCATCCATGTTGTCACAAATGGCAAGAATATTCATATATAAAATAATATCCCTATATATATTCATATATATAATTGAAAAATATATATCACCTCTTCTTTTCCATTCATCTCTGATGGACATCTATGTTGCTTCCATATCTTAGCTATTACTAGTAATGCTGCAATGAACATAGGAGTAAATATATCTTTTTGAATTAGTGGGTGGTTGTTTTTTTGATAAATACCCAGAAGAGGAATTGCTGGATCTTAAGGCAGCTCTACTTTTAATTTTTTGAGGAATCTCCATGTTGTTTTCCATAGTGGCTGTCCCAGTCTGCATTCCACCAGCAGTGCACTAGGGCTCCCCTTTCTCCACATCCTCGCCAGCACTTGGTATTTGGTTTATTGATGATAGCCACTCTGACAGGTATGAGGTGATATCTTATTGCGGTTTTAATTTACATCTCCCTGATGATTAGTGACATTGAGCACCTTTTCATGTCTACTGGCCACCTGTAAGTCCTCTGAAGAAATGTCTTTTCAGGTCCTCTGCCAATTTTCAAACTGGGTTATTTTTACTGTTGTTGAATTTTAGAAGTTCCTCATATATTTTGAATATTAACCCCTTATTAGATATATGGTTTGCAAAATTTTCTCACATTCCATAGGTTAGCTTTTCAGCCTGTGAATTCCTTTGCTATACAGCAGCTTTTTAATCTGATATAGAGCCACTTGTATATTTTTTTCTGTTCTTGCCTATGCTTTTTGGTGTCATATTCTAGCAATCGTTGCCAAGGCCAATGTCATGATGCTTTCCCCTCAAGGTTTTCTAGGAGTTTTATAGTTTTAGGCCTTATGTTTAAACCTTCACTACATTTTGAGTTGGTTTTTGTATATGGTATATAATAAGGGTCCAACTTCATTCTTTTGCATGTGGATATCCAATTTTTCCAACACCATTTGTTGAAAAGACTATTGTTTCCCATTGTGTATCCTTAGCATACTAGTCAGAGACCAGTTGACCGTATAAGCATGGGTTGCTTCATTCTCTTCTCTTGGTCTATGTGCCTGTCTTTAGACCAGTACCATACTGTTTTTGTTACTGTAGCTTTATGATATATTTTTGAAATCAGGAAATCTGATACCTTCGGCTTTGTTCTTTCTCAAGATTGTTTTGGCAATTTCAGGTGCTTAGGATTGTTTTTCTCTGTTACTGTAAAAAATGTCATTAGGATTTTGATAGGGATTACATTGAATCTGTAGGTTGCTTTGGGTAGTATGAACATTTTAACACTATTAAGTCTTCCAATCCATGGACATAGAATTTACATTTTCTTTAATTTCTTTCAGCAATGTTTTGTAGTTTTCAGTATACAACTCTTCATCTCCTTTGTTAAGTTTATTCCTAAGTATTTTATTATTTTGGATGCTATATTAAATGGGATTGTTTGCTCAGGTTTCTTTTCAGCTTGTTTATAGAAATGTAACTGATTTTTGTATGTTGATTTTCTATGCTGTAATATTGTTGAATTTGTTTATTAGTTCTAATAGCTTTTTGTGGAATCTTTAGGGTTTTCTATATATAAAACCATGTCATCTGCAAACAGAGATGACTACTTCTTCCTTTCCAATGTGGATGCCTTTTATTTCTTTTTCTTGTCTAATTGCTCTAGCTAGGGCTTCCAGTACCACGTTGCATGGAAGCAGTGAGAGTGGGCATACTTGCCTTGTTTCTGAACTTAGAGGAAAAGCTTTCAGTCTTTCACCATTGAGCATGATGTTAGCTGTGGGATTTTCATATATAGCCTCTATTATGTTGAGGTAATTCCCTTCTATTTCTAGTTTTTGAATAGTTTTTCTATGAAAGGGTGTTAGATCTTGTTGAATGTTTTTCTGCATCAACTTAGGTGCTCTTGTGATATTTATATTTCATTCTGATAATGTGCTGTATCACATTGATTGATTTGTGTATGTTTAGTCATTCTTGCATCCAAGGGATAAATCTCACTTGGTCACGGTGTGTAATAATCTTTTTAATGTGCTGTTGAAATTGGTTTGCCAGTATTTTGTTGATTTTTGCATCTATCTCCGTGAGGGATATTGGCCTATAGTGTGTGTGTGGGGAGGTGTATGTGTGTTTGTAGTGTCTTTGGTTTTGGTGTCAGGATAATGCTGGCCTCATAAAAGGAGCCAGAAAGTGGTCCCTCCTCATCAATATTTTGAAAGAGCTTCAAAAAGATTTGCATTAATCTTCTTTAAGTGTTTGGTAGATTCACCAACGAAGATATCTGGTCCTGGGCTTTTCTTTGTTGGGAGGTTTCTGAATCCTACTTCAGCTCTTTACTAGTTATAGGTCTGTTCAGATGTTCTGTTTCTTCCCGATTCAGTCTTGGTTAAATTGTATGTTCCTAGGAACTTATTCATTTCTTTAAGGATATCCAATCTGTTGGTGTGTAATTGTTCATAGTAGTCTTTTAGGACAGTTTCCCCCACTGTGGCATCAGTTGTAACGTTTCCTCTTCCATTTCAGATTTTACTGATTTGAGTATTCTCTTTTTCTTAGTCTAGCTAAAGTTTTGTTAATTTTGTTTATCTTTCAAAAAACCAACTCTTAGTTTCATTGATTTTTAATTGTTTTTCTATTTTGCTTATTTCTGCTCTAATTTTTATTCTTCCTTCCTTGTGCTAAATTGGGACTTTGTTTTTTCTTCTTTTTCTAGTTCCTTGAGGAGTAATCTAAGCTCCCAAGAGTGTCCATTATCTTCCAAATGAAAGCAAAATGATTGTAATGACCAATATAAATTCATAGTTAATAATATTAAAATTTAATCACTTATATGTGTTTTCATCTATAAAACAATATGTTTTATGTACTTTATAAATCATGATCTTAGAAATAGATTTTTTTAAAAATTAGATAGAGCCATCTATTAAAGATATTTAGCAGATGTTGAACCATTGATTTTTCTTTCATTGAGATTTTTATTATCACATTAAGATGTAAATTTGAGCTTTGGGTGTGTGTTTTTAAATTCAACAACTCTCTTTGCTAACGTGTCCTAATGCTAACTCTATTTCCATTCCTGTCAAGTCTGAGTCTCCCAGCAGACTTTGGCATGCAAATAGGTTTTAGTTTCAGACCAAAGATCTCTAAGTCAAGGATGTCTCTTCTCTTTTTTGCATTCCCACAACTAATTAACTAGCATGTCAGAAATGATACATCCTCAAAATACAGTTTGCATCCAATCATTTCTTATCACCTTTACAACTATCACTCTGGCTCATGTTACACCCCTCACCTGGACTATTGTAATAGCTCTTAACTCAGTGTTTATTTTTTTTACCATGAACCCGTAAATATTTTATATTTCAACCAATTACAGACAGGTACACACACACACACACACACACATGAAACAAAAATGTTATGAAACATTACTTACTCTTACTATATGTAATACACTCTGATATTTTATATTTATTTTTTAAAATGGGTCATAATCCAGTAAGTTGGTTTCAGGATCTCTAAATGGTGACCTATTATTTTAAAAATCCTTCTGACTAGTCTCACAGCTTTAAACCTGCCCTCTATAGACAGTTTTCTACCCAGCAGCCAGAATGTTCTTTCAAAACATGTTATATGAATTCTCTGCTTATAACTCTATGATGTATTTCCATCCACTCAGAATAAAATCCCCATTCTTAAACATGAACTACAAGGCTGTGGACCTGACCCCTGCCTATCTTTCTGGCCTCATGTCCTATCACTGTCCAGAACTCACTCCGCCCCAGCCATGCTAGCCTCTCACTGATGCTCAAACATTCCAAGCTCATTACAACTGCAGAGCCTTTGCACTAGCTAGTTCCTCTGCCTAGAGCACCTGTGGTCATTACATAGCTCACTCTCTCACTTCATTCAGCTATCCACTCAATTTATCACTCCTCAGACAGGCCTTTCCTGGCCATTTTGTCTAAAATTTGGTCCTGTTATTCTAGGTCTTCTTATCCTGCTTTAGTTTCCTTTGTATCACCCCGGGATTGCAGTATATAATTATATGTTTATTTATTCATCATCTGTGTCCCTCAAAAGATGTCATATTCATGGAGGCAGAGATTTCTGTCTTATTTCCTAGAATTCCCTAGTACCTAGGGGGGGCGGAATATGTCAGGCAAAGAGCTGGCACTCTGGTGTTGTATGAATGATGACGCCCCTTTCAAACCAAGCCCTTCGAGAGCCTTTTTCTTTTTTCACTGCCTCTCCTTGGCTCATCCAATTTTTTCCATGCCTCATCTCTGGAGCCCATTTATCTTGTGTCAGAATGGAAGACTTCTCCTCCTAAGCTTATAGCCCCTGAAAGTTGCCTTTAATAAATATTTTCTACCTCATCTAAAAAGAATTCTCTCATTCTCACAAATCACTCCACTCATTTCCTCAGGCATAGTTAAAAACCACAGCCAAGTCAATTGGTGGTAGCCTCTATACAGTTTTGTCTATTTTAAACTATGTCTAGAAGTCAGGGGCTAAATCAATCTTACTTTGATAAGTAGTATTTTTCCATTGCCAGGTTTCCAGAATATTTTTAATGAATATTATATCAGATTTTAACAAACAGGTAATGGGGGATTAATAGTTGCAAGAACATAAGCTTTGAAGCTGAACATGTCTAGATCTGATCCCAGCTGTCACTAATCCTACCTGGGTGACCTTGAGAAGTTATTGAACCTCTCTGGAGATAAACATATGTCAAATTCTTAGCACTACATCCAACACAGTAAGCTCTCAAAATTGAACCTACTAAAATTTAACTGGGTTTATTGTGTGTCTAGTACATAACACAGAAGATTCACTTATTCAGAGATAACACTAGTGCAGGCCACTCTCCAAATAATTACTTGTTACTAAATAGAAGACTGTCAATGCTCCATTTTGTGGAGATGGCATCTGGGTAAGGAAGCTGCATATCCACTTAAGCCACAGCTTTACCACTAAGGGGAAGTCTAGGCTCCCTACTTCTTAGAAAAAGCAGAATATCATTTTCTTGAGAGTTCCTTCTGGTATTATCTCTGGATCTAGTTTCCTTATTTAGGTGGAATAAAATATGTTTTTCTCTGGCTAATTTATTAAGCAACGTTGGTATCTAATGACATTTTTTACTTTATTAAAATTCAGTGTACACCCCTGTGCATGCATTCCTTCAAAAAGCATTTCTAGCATTTCTCAAGGGAACACTTAGTATGGTATTAACATAAACAGAGGTCAACAAAAGACATAATAATTGCCCTTGTTTAGCACATGTGGTTTACAAAGTGTACAAATTTCAAGAATTTCCCCATAATCACAAGAATTAAGCTGAGAGAAAGGGTAAGATGGTAAATTATTTTATATTTAGAGTCCTTTGTTCCCTATGACATTTTTCACTTGAAATTTAATTACCTAGTGCCCGATGGGATGCACTGTATCCTGAGGTGGAACATATAGCCCAACAGAATAGGAGTCAACAGACCCAGCATAAAGTTCTTCCATTAGTAGATCTATCTGTGGATTTTCCTTTAACTCTCAAGTCTTGATCAATTCACTCTATATCTCTATGCCTTGGTCTTGTGTAAAATGGTGAAGTTTTACTAAATGATTTCTAAGGCCGCTGCGGTTAAAAATATTGTATATTCTCTAAGTCCAAATTGCTTCTCTAGAGAAAATAAGGCATTATACTGGTTTCCACAGATTTTAAAGTTCACTGTTTGCAATTCTGAATATATAAATCAATTTTGCACTATTTCACAATTCAAGATTGTTAGACAAAAGGTCTTCCCTGAAAAAGTGTCATCCAAAATCAGTATATACAACTTGGAAAAAATGAACTGAAGGCCATGGCACAATCACAAATGTGTCATGTTTATAAAGCATGGGTTTCTTATATAGAAATGATCATCACCTGGAAAGATATTCTTTTCTGAAATAAAAATATCCCAGCCTGAATCTCTTCAAAATCTCTATCAATTTGACAAACTCTTTATCAAGAGATTCTTTGTGGTTTTCCAAGCTCGTCAGCATTAATATGCAAAGATTTAGATTCTCTTCCATGGCATATTTGAATTCCTACAAGGAAAATCACAAAACAAACTCCACTCTTCCAGTGTTAAATATAAACATGACAGAGGCAATATGAAATGCAGTGGCCATTCCCCCCTCAATAGTATTTACTGTTATTGGAGCCTAAAATTCTAATGAACACATACTATTCTCAGTTGCCCAAAGGCTGATTCTCCTTTATGTTGATATCTCAGTTTAACAAGTATATATTGGGTACTTATCATGTGCCTGAAATTGAATTTTGTTTCTTTTTCTTAAGACTGTGGATCCCTGACCATTTCACCTGTCATCACAATTGCTTTAGAATCCGATGGGACAAGAAAATACAATAAAATCAGTATTTGTTGATTAGCATATTCAAAAGCAATGTTAAAAAAAGCTTGTTTGGCAAAGGGGTTGAAATTAACATTCCACAGTTTTCAGAGTTTCCTTCTGGCTTTAGCTTAACTTAGGGGCTGATGAACATTAATAGTTGTCTGGCAATCGAGAAACTTGAGATACTAAGTGATGGATAAATTAAGAAAGTTTATATAGCTCTTTCCTAACAGAACTGGAAAGAGCTACCTAAGAAGTTCATGGTTTTCCAATTTTCTGCTAATTTCTGGGATAATAAAACTGTCAGAGTCCCAGGAATAAGATTCTTTTGCACAAGAACTATTCTACCTAAGTCAGAGAATTTTAACAAACCAATGTTAACTGGCTTAGACTAGCTAATTCTCACAAGGGTTCAGATAAAATACGCTCTTTCATTAAATCATCTTATTTATTCCTTGTTTCCCCCACACACAATACATATCCTCACACTCAGGCATTCTCACTTTTCCCTCACCCTCACACTCAAAGACTTATCCTGAACCTCACACTCACTCTCACGCACATGTGAACATTCATACACCTCCCCCTGCCCGACACACACTCTACACACATCATCAGACTCAGAGAGCAGAGACGACAGTAATGCCTCGGAAATGGTACTACATATAATAAGTATTACCTGGGCTTCAAAAGTAGAAGGCAAACTAGGAAAATTACAAAGTACAGACACTTACAGTAAGCTTGTCTTCCCACTTTTCTTTCACAGCAATTTCTGGATTATTTACCCGCTGTAGACAGCTGTCGATGAGGGTGTCCACTTCAGAAACTTCCTCGTGCTGAAAAAGAGTTCCACATCTTCAACTAGGAACCCAGGTGAAAGACACATGCTGTCATATAAGAAGTAATTTGGCCCAGAGTTCTATTCTATAGTAATCCCAGAGCGTACCAGGGAAAAGTTCTCATCTAGTGCCACCCAGTGACCTGCCTTTACCCCAGGTCGTTGCCATGTGTAGATGCTAACTCTCATCAGGTTCTCTATCCATGCTGAATATGCACGGATAGAATTGCTTTCCAGAACAAAACCTACCCATTTCCACCCTCCTCTCAAATAGAAAGAAACAAGCATTTTTATGGGTGTGTTGTGGTTTTTTTTTTCATTTATAAAACTAAATACTACACAGGCTAGGCACTGTGAAAGGGATAGGAAATACCAACCTGGAGAGTCTCTGACCATCTAGAGTTTCCAGTCAAGTATCAAAATGAAGAGAGGTACTAACCATTAGCTAGAAGGAAACTGTTCAGTAGACACCATGTCTTCAGCCCTTTGATACTAAAGATTAAATTGAAGGAAAACTATGCTCAAGCAATCCATGTTTAATGGTCAACCTGTTAGCCCTGACTGACTCAGGACTAGATCAACTTCAGGAATGTTTGAGAAATATCTTCTTTCGTAGTAGGATGAATTTGGGGCTCAACAACACACACATATGCTTGTGCTCAGCAAACAGGCGGTCGGTCAGCGATCTGCAGCCGTTCCTAGCCAGTGAAGCACCGCCATGGGCGTGTGCTGTACACCAGCTTCTGAAGAGTCGCTGTGAATCCCACTCCCTTCTGTCCGAGTTCCCTCAGTAACAGCAGCGTTTCTATGTCCAGAGCTGACAAGCTGAGTAAACAGCACTGACACTCAGTCTCCATGTTCTGAAACAATTTCCAAAATGTTCACGACTCTGCCACTCTGATAATGAACATTCATTATTTTTATTTTCTGATAATAATGCCCAGGGATCAATGTAACTGTCCCCGTTAAATAGTTCTTAATAGTCTTATGGAATCCTCCTATATCCCCCCAAAACTGTTTATTTTCTCTCTAGTATGGCTGCAACTTACCATTTATTTTTTCATAAGAAAATTCCATTTATCCCATAGGTAGCATGTACATGTAGTGATATGAACTGCTATGGCTCTAATTTTTTGAAAATAAGGGAAGGTGCCTGCCCGGGCATGGCTCAGCGGTTGAGCATCGGCCTGGGATCCAGATCTCATGGTTCGATTCCCGGTCAGGGCACATGTCCAGGTTGAGGGCTCGATCCCCAGTCAGGGGCATGCAGGAGGCAGCTGATCAATGACTCTCTCATCATTGATGTTTCTCTCTCTCTCTCTCCTTTCCTCTTTCTGAAATCAATAAAGATATATTAAAAAAAAAAAAAAA